CCAAGGGTTAAACACCGAACTCACTTCTAACCTTTCCATCGTATATCGGAGGAGAATCGCACCTCGTTCAAGCTTGGCTTATTATATGTATATATATATATGTATACGTTTATACGAGAGTGGCGCTCGGACAAATTGGCAATCGGCGGACAGCGAACGGAAAAGTATATTCTCCGAGAGACTGGTGACTATAGGACAACGATGGCCCCGGGCAAGGACTACGGGTTGCGACCCCAATCGCATTCGGACTCGGCTTTGCGCAGGTGTGCGTGGCCATTAATCCAGAAATGGAAGTGAATGCGGGTCCAAATGCTAGCCAGAAGCGGGCTCGAGCTCTACGTCGTTGCACGCTTGTCTCTTCTTCCCCTCTTCCCTTCCCTTACACTCGTTTTTTCCTCCTTTCTATCTCTCTCTCTCTATCTATCTTTCTCTTTCTCGCTCTCTCTCTTTCCTGTTTTTTGCGTAGCCGGCGATACAGGTAATAAAAAAGAGGCGTGTCCCCCTCCCCCCTCCTCCCCCCGAATGTTTAAACGCGGCCCACGTTCGCGCGCGAGAAACCAACTACTAGGCAACGACTTTTTATCGAGGACCGCTATGAAACTGCTGGTTCTCTCTCAAAGGCCATTAAGATCTCTTAGGATCGTTTCAGGAACCAGATGTTTTTTTTCTCTTTTTTCTTTTTTTGCATCGTTTCATCGGAACACCCGGCAATTCAACGATAAAGGTAAGAGTAAGGTGGTACCTATTTAATCTCGTAAAAAACGTACCTAGTTGATTTCTCAATTTTTAACGGGAGGGAGAGAGAGGAGGGAGAAGAAATCCTCATCGTTCTTCGCGAATAAAATTTTCATTACGTAGCGTATAGAAACAACGGGAGTTGTTCGAAGACCGGTATCGGTTGAAATATACGTTGGCAAGGACGCGGAGATATCGGTTGTACAGCCTAGCCTACGGTTCGTGAAACGGAAATCGGTTTTCCATAGAATGGTCGTGCGCGGAAAAAATCGGACATAATTAACCCATAAAGCAATAGGAATCGGAGGAGATCTCCGCGGTTTTGTCCATAAGCGAGAGAAGTCGGGACCACTGTTAAGAAGATTACACGTGCACCTGCGCGCCGCCGGTTAGGGACAGCCGATAGCCGATAGAGGCGCTTCCCTTCGCCTTCGTAACGCGCGATTCTTCACCGATGTTGCGAGCGTTGCAATTTTAAACGCGCCTCGGCGACGACAACGGTCCCATTGCGCGTATTTCAAACGATCTCGAATTCTCAAGATATTAATACAGGATAAGATTATCGGAATAATTTCCGAGGATTTCCTTCAACGAAAATCGATTTTTCCAACGATGTTTAAGCTTAATTAACGTTGAAATTTATCGATTAAATTTGATTCACTCACCGGTAGATGCGGAGAGCGGCGGTGGCGTAGGCGTCGTGGAAGGTGAAGGGATTCTTCTAGCAGTGGCGGTAATTATAGCCGCTGGACTGTACCGGGGCACCTGCAACACCACGGGAGTTTTCACGGACAGATCCACTGGTTCCAGCTGCACCGGCGGTCCCGCCGCCTGAAACAGAAACGAACGGTACTCGTTAACGCGCGTCCCCGCCATTAAACCATCAATTTTGCAGAGAACGAGCTTCCCCTTTGGCGCCATGTAACCGAACATCGCGCGTTTGTTCGCCCAATACTCGAATTACTCGAATTACGGTGTAACGCTCTCTCGGTGTAGCGTTTTAAATATTTCCCTCCGTTGCAACAGAGGTTCTCGACTTGGAAATTCCATCCCTTCGCCGATGACGAGTATCGAAATTCCTGTATTTTTGTTCGCATATCAAGCGTTACAAGGGAAAAAATAACGAAAGAGTTCTCTCTCTCTCTCGAGTCGACCAAGTCGAAGCTCGAATGATCGAGAGCAACCGATCTCGAACTCCCTCCGGAGTGAGGGAGTGAGCTCTCCCGATAAATCGATAGCCAAAGGTACTACCTTCGTACCTAGCTTATCTGGCAGAGAGCTCGATGCTGGTAGCAGGCCCAAGTGCTTTCGCGCAATTAGCATAACTAGCATTGCTATTGACGTGGACTAATCACGACCAGTTCCCACGAGATCCGAATGACCCGAGAGCTGCCCACCGTCTCTCTCTCTCTCTCTCTCTCTCTCTCTCTCTCTCTCTCTCT